ATTTTAATATTTGCACAAAGTAAAATAAACATTTTAGCTTCAAAACATTGGACTTTGTTGATGAATATACTCATTTTAAGACTTCATTTCTATACGTCTGTGCACATTATTGTCCGTTACGTTTACTTGTAGTTGTAAATATCCTAATTTAAAGTTGTTTGTTCATACTTTGATTAAATAAATTGATTTAAAGGTGAACACTTGAATTACAGACGTAGAGAATCCACAAATGTGTCGTTGCCCAACAAATGATAGACCTCACTGTTTATTATACAGTTGAAAGAGGTTGAACAGCCTTACACTTGCATGACTTCACGCTTCATATCGGGTCGGCAGTGCGAACGCTCTTTCTAAATGCATTTCCTGTGCCTGTCTCAGAGTTTGATGGAGAGCTGGTCGGATGACAGCTGGAACTGTTGTCATAACCGGAGGAATACTGGCCACAGTGATACTTCTGTGTATCATAGCCGTGCTGTGTTATTGTAGACTCCAGGTATGTTTGTACTACTTTACTGTACAGTTCATCCTATCTGGTTCTCAGTGGAGTTGCTTTCTTTTAGAAATATAGAAATTAGCCCCAATATCTTTATAAAAGGACACAAAAAAGGACTAGGAAGATGAGGCATTCATTTGTCTGTGAAAAATAGGATTTTTGGACTCTGTAACAGACGCAGTGTTGTCGAGCCACACAATAGATCCACACAGGAAACAGTTGAAGTTGTACTGAAAGGAAATGATTACTGGTAGCATCAGTGTACGTTTATTTGTCAGAAACCTGAGTTTAGCCACAGCGACGCCTTTTTCTCTCTCTGCAGTACTACTGCTGCAAGAAGAATGGGTCTGACAGCGGCTCCATCTCCCAGCAACACTTCGCCTGCAACGCCTGCAGTGTCTCAGGCCTGGACGGACCCATCGCCACCCCGCTGTCCCTGTCGCCACCGGTGCCGCCCAAATCCTACAAAACCACCAAAACCACCAGGGGGCGACGCAGCTACTGCCCCACCTGCTCACCCTACGACTCGCCCTTTTACATCCGCACTACAGATGAAATGCGCAATGGTGGCGAGCGCATCACCTACATGCCCACGCACTATGACAACCAGGCGCTGTCGATGCCGTTGCCCGCGGTCCGAGGCTCCCTGCTGAGGGAGACGCAGCGAGGTCGGCCTCCTGACTTCTACACCAACACACGCGCCATCAGCACCGAAGTGTGACCGCCCCCTCCCCCCTCCTCTCTAACGAAAAAAAGAAAAAAAAGAAAATTCCTCCTTGACCTTTGACCTCTACACACACAGATTCCCCTGTGTTCCCTTACACACACCAGCACCACCACTAACACAACCACTAAACAAAAACAAAGGCTGTTTGTGGAGATTCCTTTATCCCGTTTATTCGCTGAGAAGATGAGACTGACTATAAACGGACGCCGTTCAGCCTGAGTTCGTCCTTTATACTCTTAAATTGTACATTTTCATGCTCACTCAGAAAGTAATAATTCTGCGATTCACAGTAGATAAAAGTCCCTAAACCCTGAATTAGGGGTGTGGCTAAACGCTTACACTCGTTCACTATCGACTGTTTCCGTGTCTTTACCGACCGAGGGCTATTACGGATAAGTTGTGGGATTATTTTCATGCTACATATCTTCCCAGTGACGGCCATGAAGTAATATAAAGAGGTAAGTAGCAAGAAACGCGAGAAACGATGCCCCGTGTGGTCCTGGGAGGCGTTCAGATAACGTTGAGGCTGGACGACTGGAGATCTCTCTATGCAAACTACCGCAGCTCTTCATCTCCTTTCAGCGATTTTCATGTCATCGGTGATATTGTGAAGGGGGTAATATTGGGATTGCTGTGCCCAGCAGTGAGGTGTGGTGGTGAGGCACGTGTAGATAGACACGCTGTGAGCGTTTAGCTCGAGCTTCCCCTCGGATGTGGAAACCTGTGAACAAAGGATGCCCGAGCCCCCGAACGCAGCAGTGGGACGTGAAATGAACTGAATGAAATTCTCTTTACTGACAGAAATGCAAAAAGTTTGAAATGTAAATAGTAACCAGAAAACATTGGTGACGGAGGGGGAGATGCACGCTGGGTGTTTAAAGAGGGATTTACTGATTCGTGCTATTTTGTCTACGCACTCTTCCTGCGCTCATAACGATGCAAATATCCACATTCATGTTGTTTTCCCTGTGTGGTGAGAAGGTGTGCGTACGTCATCTCACAGTGATGCTTTTCTACATGATGCTGTTGCTTGCGATAATATTTGCTGTTGTTGTTTTGATATCTGTGTGTACAGCAGGAGTCGGAGGCCTGAAGAAGCAGAGCAGGAAAGCTTTGGGATTTGTGTGGGAATGTTGGAGAGATCCAAGTATTTAGGAACAAAATCAGATGCACTTTTCGAACCTCTCCTCCAGCCGTGCATAATCAGACTTTATTACCAGCTTCTTAATTACTTTTTCATAATTAAATCAGTTTTAACTGCAGTGCCATTATTGTGCTGTGCATATCCAACCTTCTGAAGACCACATGAAAGAATTGGTTTTCTCCAGATGAACTAACACGAGCAAATAAAGAACTAACAGCGTGTGTGCAGAGGTTTCAGTGGGTGAGCTGAACGACGTGGACGCGTTGCTGCCGCTACGATAGTTTTATTGTCATTATTCAATTATTTAGACATTGTATTACCTGCTATCTATTTTACTCTTTACTTAACCAGTAATCTTTGACAAATATTAAAGAAAATGATTTTTAGAG